CATCATATCTAGCACGCTGCTGCTGCATCTTTTTCCACGTCTGATAAGGAGGTGCAACGCCGAACCGGAAGTGGGTTTCGGCGCCTTATCACGCCGTTGATAAGGCGCCACTGCCCCTGAAGCGTCACCTGTCGTCCCATTGGGTAGGACCCCTACCCAATCCACTATGTCACTTTCCCTATCGTCTCCATAGGAATTTCCGTGACCACTTCCTTTAATTTGGACGTAGTTGTTTCAGTAGAAACAAATATCTTGTATTCGCTTCTGTTATTCCTTTTTCAACATGTTACGTTAATGAAAAGAAAACGAGGAATGAACTGAACAGACATATCCGTAAGGTCTGGAAAACCTCTGCCAAACTAAAGAATATTTGGCCTTTCTGTGAGCCATGTGGTTTTTAAGTATGCTAATGTATGGCCTATAGAATGAGTACAAAGACCTTAGGAATAAGTCGCGCAAGCGCAAGAAAAAGGGATGACTTGGGTGGGACGCGTTACCGCGTCACAATGTCCCACGAGGTGCGCAAAGTGGGATGTCGAAAAAATACCACATTTTGAAAAACCGGTTAACCACAGGACAATTCCTTTTGTTCGTTTTAAACAAGTGCTACATTTCAGACCACCATCCACAGCTCACGTTCCCTTCAGAGCACCATTACATCAAGCACGAAAGTCACTATCGACTCGAAGAAGGTATTCGTTGGTCTTTGCACATCGGACATCGTGGTCACCGAAGCCTAATTGGCTAAAATCGCCTTTACAGGACACTTTGCGGCATTCATTTTTCCTGCTCGTCGATGATGCGGTGGTGGCACGAAAGCATAGTGGAAGGCCGATATTGCGCAAGAAGTGATTGCTTCTCAATGAGGAAGGTATGATTGCTACCAGATTGAACATCTTATCGAGGAAATGGCCGCGGGGCAGTAGGACCTTGAACACTATCCAACGGGGAGCCGATGCAACCCCTCCTTTCCATACTTTCATAGTCAACACAAACCCTCTCCATTTGATGCCGGGCATTGTTGAGCCTAGCTCAACCCAACAAACCTCAACTCTGCCCCCAAAAAGCCTCTGCTACCATCGGGCGGTGGTAGAATACGGAAAAGCGGAGAGAGTGAATTTATGGGACTGCTGGAGCAGCAGTCTCCAGTTTACGCCGCTATTTCCCTCTTCTATCTACCTCCTACCGCATTACTCATGAGCCTCGAATACGACCTCCTCCTTGTTCACCGAAGGAAAGACGACCCTCCCACGGAGGAATCTTCGACCGTGTTCACCCTACTCTTTACCAATATCACCTCCTTGGAAGGTTAGTCTGATATTTTACATCAATGTCAGCTGCCATCCGTCTAATAATTCTTATTTCCATGGGGCAAAACAGATCTAAAGGCAAGCGGCGCTGTTGAGCCATCAGGTCCTTGATCGTAAGCCACCCAGGTCAGCGGACCTTCGACTGTGTGGCACTAACGCTAGGGAGATAAAGAAGAGACAAGAAGTTAAGACATCCTTGACCTTACCGTAGTTTCTAGAAGGTAGGTTTTACTTTTCAGATGCGAAGCACCGATCATGACAACCTCTGTAAATTCCACGGTATCTCCCTGGATGGGCCATATGTCATGTCCGTTTGGAAATATTGCTCTCGGGGATCGCTAAAGGTTCGCTAATCATGTGATCTAGCACTAAGCATTGTCCTTGTAATCCTCTAATGGTTCCATTATATTGCAGGATGTCATCGCGAAAGGCTCACTTCAAATGGATTGGTTTTTCAAATATTCACTCATAAGGGACATTTGTGAGGTGCGGGTGGTGGAGTTTTGGAGGCATTAATCACTGGGCATCCTGAAACTGATTCGTGATCTTATAGGGCATCTACCAACTGCATCATTCGAGCATTGGCCCGCATGGATGGATAAGCTCAGCCACTTGCTTGGTCGATGAACGATGGCAGGTTAGCAGGATTTTCGGATAATA